CAATAACCTACACATATACATAGGCCTACGTAAAAAAGCATGCCCCCAAATAAAACAAACACACATACACTACAGTGTACTAATTATTAAATATTTTTGTTTCCTCCTGATTTTCATTTTCTTTAACCTTAATTTTGTAGTTAACAAATATTTTATATGCTTTTGTTGTGATAATTTAAATTGGTATGGAAAACTGCCCAGTTAATTGCATGTTAGTAGCTTCAACTCATTATTTTTTTTGCCAAACCATTTGATAATACATAAAACAACAATATTCTGAAAAAGATTTCATAAAGAACAGAAAGAAAGGTTGACTGTTCCAAAAAATTTATGTCTGCTTTTTTGGGGTCAAGAAACACTTTTTTTTTCTAGAGTAAGAGCCAAATGTATATTTTAATATTTAATTGATAAATTTGATGCCTTTAAACATTTAATTAATGTCAGAAGTATAACTAAAATATGAAAAATTAAAATGGGAGAACAATGAAAGAGTGTGTTTTTTATTTTCATGATAGACACACTCCCTCCAATCAACATTAACAGCCTCTGGATGAACTGATGCTCATCCAAGCATAAGTCACGCTTGACCGACTGTATGATAATTAAATTTATTAGTCATGTTCTACGACTATTTGCTCTCGCAGACGCTGTTCATAATAATTACACTGTGTCTTTAGAGAATAAAACAGGAGCTTCATACCTGCAGTCTCCCTCCGAGCATCTAGATCCAGTTGTTTGAAATTAGAAATTTATGAGCGATTTTACATACATAATATACAGGATTCATAATTTGTTGTAGTGGATGAATCATGTAGAGATGTAGTAGCACAGGTTGTGCTGCTAGAGAAAACTATTTTATTTGAATTATTGCCTCTTGAGACTAAAATATTTGTGGATGTTCATCAGCTGTGTGACGATTACAGACCTTTACTATCTCATTCCTGTTGTCCTAGGTTTAATATAGAATATCAACATGTTAACTTCTACAATGGTAAGATATTAAATTGATTTGTTTTGTGTGTTGTGTGTTTTACCTCTTGAATAGACTAATAAAAAGATAAGGCGAGCGGAGGCAGGGATCTCGGTTGACTCGATGCAGGATGAATTAATAGCTGTGAAACTGAGGGAGGCTGAAGCTAACCTCTCACTCAAGGAATTAAAACAGAAGGTGTCGGAACTAGAGGACCATTGGCAGGTAATGCGATGGAACAGGAAAAATGTTGAACATGGCATTTTATCTACGCAGTAGTAATTGAGTTGTTTTTATTATCATTGATCCTTATATTAATTATTTTTCATGATAATTTAGTTAATTACGATGATTATAATGTTGATAATGACGATATTAATTTGAATGAAGATATTGAGAACAAAATGTTGTTAAATGAAAGAATTACCGTGATTAAAATGTAAATTATTTAAAAAAAAGAAGCATCAATCAGTTTAAATTCATGATAGTGGACATACACAAAAAAATGGTAGAAGTGTAAACAAAATATTCGATGATTCAAATGTCAAACCTATTAAATTTTACAGTTCACCCTCCAATTCTAGACCAGTTTGGGACCTGATCATTTGGGGTGGTTTCAGGGTTCGGTCAACATTTAGAGGGTTAGCCTTGTGTTAAAAGATTGACGATTGTTATTTGGTTCTTTAAAAAAAGGTCTTGAATTAGAGGGAGTAAATTGACCTGTGAAACTTGTAAATAGTTGTAATTTTATATTTATTTTCTGAATTGAATTTTTGTACATTTTGAGATATTTTTATTGGTATTCGAATAATAATTGTTATTGAATTTAACTATTTAAATTTTATGTAATTGTAAATAATAGTAATTTATAAGGTCAGCACAATTTGTAATTAATTTCAATGATTTTAATATTGTAATTATATTTTAATTATCTTTTCTTTTAATTGATTATTTCAATATTGTAGATATTGAACTTTTAATTGATCTGTATTGTATTGTAATAATTTAGAATTGTATATTATAGTTTTTAGGTAATTAATAATATTTATTTTTGACTGAATTTTCCAATTTTAATTATTTTAACAATATAATTAATTATTAATTATAAGTATTTTATTAATTATAAGTATATTTTTATAGTTTTTTTATATAATAATTTTGTAATTTGATTGTGTAATGCTGCCTGTTTTATATTGTATCTTATCAATTTTTATGTAAAGCGCTTTGAACAGAATTCTGCGCTATATAAATTAATATTATTATTATTAATGTCTCAGAATTACAGTCTCAAATAGGAGGGCACACTGTAATTGTAAAAGTGTATTAAATAAGTAAACAAAAGGTAGTTAAATCGCAGTTTATTCATTCCCTGATGTAGATGGAAGAATACCATACAGCATGATGGTATTTATGACAATAACAATAGCGTTTCTTCCGTCTTATTGCTTTAAGAAACACTTACAAAGATCAACAACCACACCAAAACGCAAGGACCCCAACAGTAAATTGACAGTGAACGGTTTACAAGATGAGTTAATTGGCGTGAGGTTAAGAGAAGCAGAAGCTGTTGCGGACCTAAAGGAATCTCGTCAACGAGTTCTAGAACTTGAAACACAGGTATGTCAGTCATATTGATATTTAAACACAGGTATGTCAATCATATTGATACTTAAATACATTTCCATTCAGTATCTCTCTGTTATTTAAAGTGTAGTGATATATATATATATATCTCAACGAATTCGTTTAGAGCTATGCTACACAATGTATTTATTAATTCCTTTATTCAAACACTGTATTTACC